ATGGATGGATGGATGGATGGATGGATGCATGGATGGATGGATGGATGGATGCATGGATGGATGGATGGATGGATGGATGGATGCATGGATGGATGGATGGATGGATGCATGGATGGATGCATGGATGGATGATGGATGGCTGTCTTGCATCCCGACAGGGCTCCACCGGTGCCCGCAGCACTGCCCGGCCCTGCTCTGCCCAAGGGCTCGTCCGCCCTCGGCTTTGGGTGTCAGACTCTGCTTTCATTGCCATCCCCCTTCTTTCTCAGCCCAACAAGGCTCCTGCCCGGGAATGAGTGGGGCAAAATAAGACAGAGAGCCTCATGAATATGAAATACTAATTTAAAGGACTTAAAACCAAACAAACAATCAAACCCTACAAGCCCTGCGGCCCGACACCACTCCCCCCGCTGCGCCGGGGCTGCTCGGTCCTTCCCACCCGCGCACTCCGCCTTCTCGTGTTATCACTCAGGGCCAGTTCTCTGCAAATGCACGACCATTACCGCCCTTCACTACGCATTCCAGCGGCGATTCCCAGCAGCAGATGCTCCCTCCCTGCTTAGAAAAATGTGTTTTGAGCTCTCATCGTAAATCCAGCGGTAGTTTTCTTTGCCTCAGTAGCACAATAGCTACTTTCAGATCGATGCAACTCCTCCGCTCCCCCGAGGAAAAAGCTGCTTCATGTAACCGAAGGGGCACAAAGCAAACATACCTGATCTCCTTGATGCTCTCGAGTTTGCACATTATTTCTTGCTCATCTGCCATGCTTTTCACTCCCGGTTTACACCTCCCGTGAAACGCGCAAAACGCCGAGGGGGGGGAAAAAAAAAAGCCCGAAACCAAACCAAAACAAAAAAACCCATACAATAGACACAATGTAGTCACCCCCTCCTCGCATATGGGCTCTGAGCCTGTGCGGCAGACTCTAGTGGGAGCTATGGGACTTAGAGTCCAGGTTCCTATTGCTGCCCAGGCAGAGAGACTGCAGAAAAACTACAACACCCACAAGGCAGAGCAAAAGCTTGCGTGCCCTTCTTCCTGCAACTACATTTTAAATCAATTTGTCACACCTCATTATGTCAAAGGTTGTTAGGAGTGCAAAAAGAGCAGAAGGCTTCGCTCTGAGATGTGTGCAATGTTTAGCATTTTGCTAAAATACGCACTAAAAGACTGTTGATGGGTCCATGATTTTGATTAAAAGCTTTGACAAAAAGGTAGGCTATAGTCATTACTACTACAGTGCTGTTTTCTACTGGATGCTCTGAGTTTACTACTGGATGCTCTGATTGCTCACCAAATCCAATTTTGGCACTTTTCTGGAACATAATGCATTAGCAGCAGTCGTGAATAAAAGATGTTTTAGATATTTTCTGCATTATTTAAGGAGTTTTCCCTATATTGTTAGTGTTCTTCAAATAAAGAAAAAGGCAGATGAGGGAAAACAGTGATAGGCACCAGAACCCTCTTCATCATGCCACAGCTTTTGTAAAGAAATTAGAACACAAAATGTCCGATCTGCATGTAATTTGAGTCAATTGCAAACTCTCGTTGCCTTAAAAATTGAAGACTGTAGGATTGAGCTCTGAGTGAGCTGTGTGCTCAAAGGGGACAGACTTYTTCAATGCACGATTTAAAAAGATGAACTAATTGGTTTGAGGGGGTAGAAGACAAGTTAGCTACAGTCAGTCACTGAATCTTGTTGCTAAGACAGTGAGGGAGTGAGAGCAGGCAGGGTGAGGATAAGAGGGAGAAAAGGAAAATGCTCTTGAACAAGACTAATGAGAATCCCAGCCTCCTTTTGCACTGTTTATTTTATTTTTTAATCTTTGGTTTCACAGGCTGAGCTAAAAGGTTGAGGGCAGAAAATAAGTCTGAGGRCAAGATACAAACTGGAATGTAGTGATGCAATATAGGGCCCTTATAATTGAACAATTAAATATTAATATTCTAATGTTGTTTTTTAAAAAATGCAACATGTTTTATGAAAGAAATAGCATTTAAAGAAATGTTAAAGACGAATGGAGAAGAGCTTCCAATAAAACACACAAAAGAACTGAACTTGGGTTAACATACCACTGGATTAGGTACAAGTCACCACCATAAGCAGAATGTGTAGCAATGCTACAAAACCTAAACATCAGAAAATGGATGAGTCAAAGTGGTGCATCCTAAGTTGTGAAATTTGCTTTAAATTACTGAGTTTCTTAAATGGAAATTAATTCTTTCTGTATCCTATTAGGGTTTTGAGCTTTCAAAATATATTCTTCATATTTGCCAGATTTTTTTCCTATGAGTGGGTCATCCCAATTGTACTGGCCATTTCAYATATTGAGGGAAAGCTGGTATTGGTTTCAGGATGCTTTGAGAAGCTGAAGGTAGTCATCAGCAACACTGACACTGAGAGGAAGCAACTACATGCTAGACCTGAGAACTTCAGAGCATCTAGTCTTTAAATATCAATAAATATCAAAGCCTAAAGTATTTGCAAATTTTTGTTAATCCCATGCCAGACCATCCTACCTAGGTAAAGGTTTAAATACCTCCATGTGTTAATCTTGGCCCATCCCAAAGGYATGCCTAAATATACCTGCATTCAGTCATGTCCTTTACATTTCATCCTCCACCCCTGTGACCTGCAAAACTGGGAAACCAAGGTATTTTTACACCCCGCCTGGCCCCCATCTGCCCTCCCTCAGTCTCCTCATCCTGTTTCAGCAAAGGGATCGGATGTCTGCAAGGGACAATGCCAAGGGAAACTGTCTTCCTTTTCCCATTCTCTTCCGGAGCCCAACTACACAGGCACCTCGTGGCTCGCTGCCACGATTCGGTACTCCCCAGGTGGTCCCCGTCCCTCGTACCCGTTCCCCGTCCCCGTTCCCGTCCCCGTTCCTGTTCCCGTCCCTGTCCCCGTTCCCCGTTCCCGTTCCCCGTTCCCGTTCCCATCCCCGTTCCCGTTCCCATTCCCGTTCCCCGTTCCCCGTTCCCATTCCCGTTCCCGTTCCCATCCCCGTTCCCGTTCCCCCGTTCCCATTCCCATTCCCATTCCCATTCCCCATTCCCGTCCCCATTCCCATTCCATTCCCATTCCCATTCCCATTCCCATTCCCACTCCATTCCCATTCCCATTCCCACTCCATTCCCACTCCATTCCCATTCCCATTCCCATTCCCATTCCCATTCCCATTCCCATTCCCATTGCCATTCCCATCCCATTCCCATTCCCATTCCTATTCCATTCCCATCCCCATTCCCATTCCATTCCCATTCCCATTCCCATTCCCCATTCCCATCCCATCCCCATTCCCCATTCCAATTCCCATCCCATTCCCATTCCCATTCCCATTCCCACTCCATTCCCACTCCATTCCCACTCCATTCCCATTCCCATTCCCATTCCCATTCCCATTCCCATTCCCATCTCATTCCCATTCCCATTCCTATCCCCATCCCCATTCCCATTCCCATTCCCATTCCCATTCCATCTCATTCCCATTCCCATTCCCATCCCCATTCCCATTCCCATTCTCATTCCCATTCCCATTCCCATTCCTGTTCCCATCCCCATTCCCATCCCATTCCCATTCCAT